CTGAACTATAAATAAACTGGAAGGCTAACTCAGGGGGGGAAATTGAAGCCAGTGCATTTTAGTTTTTCTGAGTTATGAGCAGAAATACTGAACACTGAACGTTGGGCTATATATCAAATTGAAGCTCTTGAAAAACGCTATTTGGTGTAGAAATTTCAAGACTTTAGCTAAAAAGGAAATATTGAAAAACTACAAACATAATTACCGATAATTTGCCGTTTTGCAGTTGTTTTTGTATTTTTAAAATATTTTTCTTTTCGCTGAAGTCTTGAAATTTCCACACCGAATAGCTATTTTCAATAGCTTCAATTTGATATATAGCCCGACGTTTGGGGTCAAGTATTTCTGCTCATAACTCAGAAAAACTATTTTGGCTTCATCAAATCATAGGCCTTCATCATAGCAGTTAGCCTTCCAGTTTATTTATAGTTCAATGCATGGCCCTGGTAAACGCTGGTCACGTGTCAGGCAAATACTCCAAGATTCTTGGAGTATTAGCCTGCGAGCGGGCTTTATGGAAATAAAGACAGGGGGGCGAGGAAAAGTTCACGAATAGAACTTGAACTGCCGTGGATTATTTATATTCTTTTATTTTTTGTTGTAATCTTTCTTTTTAATGTGTTACGTTTATATATTACGTCAAATGTACGTCAATCTTCTTTTATATCGCTTCATATAAATCGCCGAGGAGGCGATGACGCGATGTTTCGGCTTTCGAAGGACAATTATGGAGACAATTGCAACCTCGTACGTACTATTTGTGATGATTTCCATAGGCGTACCGGGCGGGGGGGCGGGGGGGGCGGCCGCCCCCCCAGTTTTTTGGGCAGTCGGGCAATATTGGATCAACAGTCGGGCAATTTCGGCTTGCAATAAAAAAAAATGTGACAAATTCTGTAAATTTTGTCTAAAATTAAGTCAATTTGTTGGCAAATTTTGAGATTTTTCGAAAATTTTGTGTATGTTCGGAAAAATTGGTTGTCCGGAAAATTTTTTGGACCCCTAAAATGGTACACTGACCGAAATTTTTTTGGCGACGGGGGGGGGGGGTCGCCAGAAAAATTTTTCCGGAAAAATTTTTTGGTACTAGTCGGGCAAAATCCCGAAAAGTCGGGCAATTTTCTTTCCGCCCCCCTAATTTTTTCCTTCCGGTACGCCCATGATGATTTCCATCAAGTAAAAAGGTACAGTATGAATTTGAAAATGTCTAGAAGTATTTTATTGTTACAAATTATTTAGCAGATTCCCATGAGTTAACACGTGCACGTGCACTCTTGCGAATATCGCAATGTTGGCAATGCGGTTGCTTTAAATTATTTGTTACACTGACCAGCTCTATGAAATATATATTTCGAAGGCTGTTATATTTTATACAGTATGTTATAGTTAGCTGAATTTGTAGTTTAAATATTGAGAAACACATGGCCAGACAATGGCCTATAATACTATACTCAGACTCTCAGTAAAGTCTACTTCTCACATGATTATTATTTACAATTGATTGATTTATCACAGCAGTATTAAATTCAAATACTGTGTTTTTTTACATTTACATTTAATAAGCCATTATTAATAGCAGAGTGGCCAGGTTGACAAAGCTAAAATCTGATGAACCTCAAGGTCTTGAACTGCTAGGATATTTTAATAGTCAAACATCAGTTTCAGCATTTATTCAGCATTATTTAATGTCAGTGAGTTGATGAGTATTTTTAATATCCATGACAACTGCAGCTGGTCAGGGATTTTTTAGGGAAAAGGTTTAGCACCCCATCGTAAAAACCTGCCCCCGAATCTCAGAATTTCATTATTTTGTTCCCTTGCCCCTACATATATTTTGTTCCCTTGCCCCCTATACAAAGGTATAAAACTTTTGTACCCTTGAGATCTTTTAAAAAATTGCCTAACTCTGCAGTGTGGCTTGTAACCTTGTTGCCATAATTATTTTCTGAAGGCTTCAATAAATTTCTACTCTAACACCTGACAGAGATGGGGGCCATATGCATGAACAAGAAGAAATGATTTCTTCATCTATCGACCCCTTACCTTTCACCGAATTTTTTAATAAATTAATTTATTGAATGATTTTGAAGTTTTCTAGATTATTGAAAAGAAATTTATGGGTACAAGATATGGGGCAGAAACAGTTAAATTAAGCAAGATATATGCAAGTAACAATGAACAAGACCAGATCACTGGATGGTATTTCAGCACACTGGTGGACATTCAACTTAATACCTGCAACCTGTGTCACATTTATATAGTTTGTAGAGATTCAAAATGTACACTACATGGTTTATTCAATCACCTGCATGAATCATTTTCATGTTATGAATATTTAAATTATCTCACTTTATAGATAATTATATCAATTTTTAATATCATAAATGAATATAGTAGCTTTTGATTATACAAGTTATAATAATGTATCAGCAAATAATGACTGGTCTCTCTGAAATCCATACAGAAAGATTCAAATTTGACTTCCACTACCACTACTTGATCTGGCAGTTGCATCCAGTGTTTGATTGGGTAGATGAAACTTGTCTGGTTAGTTAATGATAGCAATAGCAGTAGTGGAAGTCAAATCTGCTCTCTCTATTATTCTTTGAAGATTTGCTCTAGTCACTTCAATTCAGGGTTGCCCATACATTTATTGTTGACTTGGTTAGCACAGCTGTGCTCTTCAAGTTGGAGGTCCAGTTCTTAGGATTCTGCAAATTAATTCTAGAAAACTGGCTTTGGTTTGGGCTAAGCAAAAATCATCACACTGTTTACAATGCTGATTTGGTTGTTTAACAGTTAAAGTCCAGGCTGCATGTTTTTTTGTCCTGCATATGGCAGATGGGACAGTCCGGTTTCCAAGTGTTTATGTGGGGAATTAATATTAATCCTGGCTTCTGAGTGAAGGTCTTGCCATGCAGCTTTATGCAAGACCTTCGTGATGTGAGATTCCAATTGCTACACAGCATGATCCCAGGGCTCTTCCTCTGAAACAATGCTTGGTTGCGATATCATCCAGCAAGTGCAAAAATGCACTACCACGGTCAAGGATCATTTGGCATGTTCATCGACTATGTTAACCCATTGAGTGGCAGCATGCACTTTCCCCCTGACGAGTAAAATTGTCTGGCGTTAGACAGAGTAAACTAACAAAGTAGGGCGCATCTGGGTGCATTGACTTAAAGGGTTAAGACGTAAATACCACAGCACAACACTTGTACATATACAACAGCAATCCTTTTATATATATATTTAATAGTCATATTTACATATTGGTGAAATATAAATGTTCATATATTAGGGATGTCCATGAACTTCTGAAATCAGAACTTGTTCCTAGTTTGAAGCTGAAGTATTCATATCTTTTGTATCAGTTGTCCCTCTACTAACCAACTTTTAGTCATGATATACAAGAGTTGAATTTGCATTCATTTGCTTCGCAAGTCGCAACAAACTGAACAAAGTACTAAACCATAAACCTGTGCAATGATCGAGCGTCTTGAGCGACATATCCAAGTCTTTTAAACGTCGCATACGAACAAATCTCACTGAGTTTTTTCCACAGAAAGTATTGATCCATTTGATCGATCGCCGTACTCTGAGAAAAGCTTGAAATGCAAAATTCACAGGGAAGATTGAAGAATTTCGTACTAAAAACCTAAAAACTGTTGGTCGTCGAGTTTCACCTCTAGAATTCACCCCCCGGATCAGAAAAGTAACAATTACGTAATGTTCGAGTCACGTGACCAGCGTTTACCAGGGCTACGCCGCCGCCTTATATTCGGGGCTAGCCCTGGGTACGAGGTTGGTATAAAACAGGCCTTAGTCTGTAGGTGTAGCATTACACTCTCTACAGTCAGCGCATTCGTATAAAACACCACATTTTGTATAGTGGTAGTGTTTTTGTGAGACGAGGACTTATTATCCTAGTCTACCGCGTCAAAAGCGACAGTCGTTGGCGGCACGCTTATGGCTTTAATGTATTGCGCCTGCAGGAAAACGTTGGATAAATGATTGTACAAGCCACTTCAAATCTTCAATTCATGCATTTCAATTCATGGAATTAAAGGGATTTAATATTACTCACATGCATGGGATAAGATTGAGGAAAAACCAAACAACAACACTGTGAAGACAATTCAACATTTTTTAGACTGAATTGCCTTCACGATTTTATCAAACTTTTATTCAAGAATCAAGGTGATTATGTTACAAGAATTTAGTTTTATAAATTTGTACAAAAATAACTGGCTGTATTAAAAGACTGTACAATATTTACTGTAAACATAAATCTTAAAGCAAAACCGGATCATGAAGATAAAGTTTTTCAGTCCTGAGAAGATATATTAGATTTCATATTGGGGGTTTGCATTAATTATGTGAAAGCGGCCAAGGGCAAATGTGAAAAAATTGAGCACTTTAAATTTGTTAGTTCAATACATTGTTTTCAAGACCGTACACGTTATGCATAATAAAATGCATGCGCCAATCCTCCGCTGTAGACGTACCAAAATAACAAAGTAGGATGCACTGAGATGGGGGGGAGAGTAATGCAACACGCCAACACTGAAGTTTTCACAATATCAAAATGAAATCTTTGCATTCTTTTGTCCAGAAACATCTAAAATGTGGATTTAACTTAATTGGAGGTACTTGCTACAGTACCTGTCCTTAATTTGATACAATGTAATTTAAAATGAAACATTCTGAAGTTATCTTCACAAGCCTTAGATGACACACAATCCTAGAGCTTGAACTACTAGCTGCTGATTGAAGAATTTGAAAACCGTTGGGGACTGTTAATACTAGTACATAATTATTTTAAATTATTTCCGCAAAATTATAATTTAAAATAAACATGATCGAGTTATAAAGTATATATAACGCACCATAGTTCAAACCAGCTGCCTAAAGACATTGAAGTCTTGACAACCTGTTGCCCAAAGACATTGAAAATCTTAACAACTTGGAGGCTCTTTCTACAAGTGCATACTTTATTATAACACGACTTATCTTTAACAGGTTTTTATTGTTAGTATATATAACGCACCATAGTTCAAACCAGCTGCCTATAAAGACATTGAAGTCTTGACAACCTGTTGCCCAAAGACATTGAAAAATCTTGACAACTTGGAGGCTCTTTCTACAAGTGCATAATTTATTATAACATGACTTATCTTCAATAGGTCTTTATTATTAATATATATAACGCATGCACCATAGTTCAAACCAGCTGCCTAAAGACATTGAAGTCTTGACAACCTGTTGCCCAAAGACATTGAAAATCTTGACAACTTGGAGGCTCTTTCTACAAGTGCATACTTTATTATAACACGACTTATCTTTAACAGGTTTTTATTGTTAGTATATATAACGCACCATAGTTCAAACCAGCTGCCTAAAGACATTGAAGTATTGACAACCTGTTGCCCAAAGACATTGAAAATCTTGACAACTTGGAGGCTCTTTCTACAAGTGCATACTTTATTATAACACGACTTATCTTTAACAGGTTTTTATTGTTAGTATATATAACGCACCATAGTTCAAACCAGCTGCCTAAAGACATTGAAATCTTGACAACCTGTTGCCCGAAGACATTGAAAATCTTGACAACTTGGAGGCTCTTGCTACAAGTGCAAATTTATTGTAAATCATGATTTAAAATAAACATGAGTTATTTTTAATAGGTTTTTATTATTAGTATAAATAACACACCATAGTTCAAACCAGCTGTCTAAAGACATTGAAGTCTTGACAACCTGTTGCCCAAAGACATTGAAAATCTTGACAATTTGGAGGCTTTTGCTACACGTGAATAATTTATTGTAATATTATTATTTATAGTAAACATGAGTTATCTTTATGATTTTATTATTACTCAGTAACACATCTTAGTTTAAACCAGCTATCTAAAAGTCATTAAATCTTGACAACCTGTCACTATGAAAGTCATTGAACCTTTGACAAGTTAGAGGTTTTTCCTACATTGCCATCCCCCCATCCCCCAGGCGTGAGAGGGCGTGCTGGCGTGGGCAGTCAATGTCAATATTAAATATTAAATTATCAGAAATAGATAACCTGGAGTTTGGTGCTATTAGTGTCGTGAAAAATTCCCGACTGCATGCAATACTGTAGTCTGTTTAATAGTTTTTAATCTATTAAACAGACTACAGTATTGCATGCAGTCGGGAATTTTTCACGACACTAATAAAAAAATAGATAAAAAATACTATTAAAATACTATTAAATACTATTAAAATAGATAAAGTTTTTACCCCAAAACGGACGGCCGTCCAACTTCAAACTGAAATTCAATTCTCCACCATTATTCTCTCGAATGCACCAGGCTAACACAGATGTCAAGCTCACTTGTCCTCCTTGAATAGGATCAGGCGTCTTTCGCACGGCCTGATTATTTCGCTGGTCGATATCCGAGCATCAGGGGTTTGATATTTCCGCGGAAATCTTGGCTTTACTTTGCTTCAAGCAAGCCGCGCTGCGTACTGATGTAATTTCTGCGTCTTGGTGTATAATTCCAGGCTGCGAGCAGGCTATGTTTAATTTAATTTATTAGGATTCCAATGTTGGCACAATGTAGTCTACATAAATCGTCGTTTGGTATCTTCTCACACGAAATGTCTTTGGTAGAATTGGCCCGAAATTGCTCCAGAGGAATCGCATTCACAACGCGTAACATGACCTTGACGCGTAACATGGCTTGCTGTTCAAGAAATCCTCGTTCACTTTACGCTGCCTGAATGACCAAAATACCAAGCGACGTAATTTCTATTATATCACTGCTTCGCCTTGTTCCCTCCTACTGTACGGTGCTGCAACGAACGTCGTCATGTCTGACTTATTGAATTGAATGAATTTCGTCAGACAAACTCTTGAATATCCTTACACCTTTTTGCCTTCAGTTTGACTTGGGATAACCGTCTATTTTACCATTGTACGCATACTGGCAATTTCAATCTCCTTCGAGAGAGGTTGAAAATACGCAGTGGCATCGCCACATTCTTAACGTACGTTTGTGGTCTTTTTATATGAGCTGCGCCATGGCAGTCTTGGCAGACAAGCTTCGCTGTGTTATTGAATTTGGCGCGCTAACGCTGTTTACTTAGCTACTTTTTAACTATTTACATAAGCAACTTTTTAACTATTTACATAGTTATATATTACAAAATCTCTTCCTACGGAGATAACATATCACACCAGCTTGCCTAACTTCCTCACAAGCAAATCAATTTACTGTCATCAATCAGGCACATTGAGCAGTATATACAAACACCTCGAGACTTAATTTCTTCACACATCGTGCGGGTTGTAATGTAGTGGCACCAAGAATTGCTGGTAAGGGGCGAAGTCCGAATACCTAACGATAAAATATCAAATGTTTGATTTTTGAATTCAGTCTTTCGGGGTTTTCTAGCCAGAGGAAACGAAGCATATTTCGATCGCTTGAGTCAGTCCCCACCAGGAGAAAAGCTTTTTCGATGTCGGCCGATATTGCAACTGGATTCCACCTGAACCTTCCGAGGACATCGAAGAGATGCGTATAAAATTTGGACCCGTTCTAAGAATTCGTTTAGTGATCGTCTATCACTGTCCGACTTAGTAGACCCATCATAAACCACGCGTAGTTTCGTAGTATCTTTACCTTTTCGCACGACCGCATGATGAGGCGTGTAATGTATTGGTCTTCCTTCCCCACTCGCTTGATTCTCTGCATTTCCCAAATGGTAACCATTTCCCAATGCAAATCTTTGCTGTATGGAATTCCAAAATACCAATTAAATCGATTGCAGAAAGTGCTAAACGCTGTTGCTCGTATTGTATGTCTCGTACCTAAGTTTGATCATATTACACCCACATTAACGAGACTGCATTGGTTACCCTTTAAATACCGTGTTATATTCAAGATCGTGCTGTTGGTTTATAAAGCCCACATGGATTGGCTCCCAAATATATTCGTGACATGTTGACTTATAAACAAAGTAATAACTACTCCTTGAGATCGGACGAAGTAGGGCTTCTTCATGTTACAAGCACACGTAGAAAGTCTTTTGGTGATAGTGCCTTTTTGAAAGCAAGACCTACTCTATGGAACTTAGTATCGTGTGAGATTTGGCTTTCACCTTAGTTGGATTCTTTTAAGACAAATCTTAAGACATTTTTGTATAAAGATGCGTACATTTTAATAATACTTCTTGTTTTTAAATATTTTTAAATAGATGCTTATAGTAGTTGTGTAATAACGTAGGGAAATTTTTAAATTAGCTTCCTATTTTATGTAATTAAGCACTTTAGAATATTCTATAGTTTTAGCGCGGTACAAATTAATAAATTATTATTATTATTATTATTTGAAGTAGGACCGCTTTTCCCTACCGTGATGTGCTCGTTGCACTTGTAGCTGTTGTGGTTTCACCTGAATTGTTCGGACTGACTTATATATTTATATTTCATTTTGTTATGCGAAATACGAACGCGTACGGGGTCCCGCGACCCCGGGGAAAAGCCCCAAAAAATTCCCGGATGAAGGTGTGCTGGAGAGACAAAATATAGTTTTTTAGTATGTTTTTGGTTTGGAAATCACAGAATATATTCATGTTCTTTACAAAGTTTTTTTAATTTTCTTGGTTTAAATTTAATTATTATTGCCCCAGTCGTTAGTTAGGATGGCCCTTAGCTGGTGGTAACATTAAATGGTCCTTCTACGTTGGATTGAATTGGTATAGTGGAATTATTTGTATGATATAAATATGTCTGTTCATGGTTCTGAAGCAAATCGTGTGGTTGAAAATGAATTTGGTAGCGTTTCGTTGGAAGAAACACGTATTCGAAGTAATAGATCGATAGTTAAGAGGACAATAGCTACAACTTTACGCAAATTGGAGGGAATTGTGTCGAAATTTGGTGGCAAAACAATAATAAAAGGGTATGTGAATAATCTATCTGAATGTTTAAAAGAAGCTGAGGCACATAATACTTAACTTCGCGCTCTAGAACATGAAAGTGAGCATGAAGCCGTTTTAATTTGGTATGAAGAACAATTAGAAAGAGTCAATGATGCCAAACTAGTGGCTGTAAGTCATCTTTAGGGGGCGCTTACATGAAGTATCCTCAGTCGCTGGAACCTTTCCTGGCATGCAAGAAAATTCGCAAATACCGAACTTAATCAGTTCAAAATCTGTAATAACATGTAGTTCAAAATCAAGTGGAAAAGGAGCTGAAGTTCGTGCGAAAGCCTTTGCCGCAGAGTTAAAAGCTAAACAATTAATGGAAGAAGAAGAGAAAACAAAACAAGAGTTGGAAAAACAATTAGAACTTGAGAAAAATATAGCTATGGCTAAAGAAATAGCTGAAAGAGCAAAACTCGAGGCTGATCGAAGAAAGACGAAAGGTCCAGCAAGTAAAGGAAGAATGAATGCGTCAAAGGGCGGAAGCAGAGTTCCTGGAAAATGAAGAGGAGAACCCACAAAGTTTGTCAAACAGACCACGTGACTTTGAAAATTACCAAATGATAAAGAACGACCTCCAACAGTAAATCAGCAAAGTCTTCTGAGGATTATAACAGAAAAATCAGCACCGGTGAAAGTTCCTGAAAACACTACTCATAAGGGAACATTAAACAGGCAAGTTGGTCAGAAACCTCCTAATGGAAATTGTGTACCAAGTATATATGTTCAACCCGGCTCTAATAATCTGTCAAGGTTAAAATTAACCACGTTTGACGGGGATTCACTTAAGTGGCCTGATTGGTCTTCTATGTTCAAATCAATGGTTGGTGATGCAAACATATCTGTTTCATTGACGATGAAAGGACTTCATGTAAGACTATTTTAATGTTTTAGTTAGTCGGAGTTTACTCGGACCTTAGTCGGAAGGGTTCGTAGAAAAAATGTGATGAGCTTGTAGAAATGTTTTGAACACGTTTTCGTATGGTTTTATGAAGTTTATAAAGTTTTAAGTAAGGTTTATTATTGTTAAATGTTAAGATAAAAGGAAAAGGATACTTGCTTAGGACAGATGTAAGTAGAAAGCCTTAGTTAATTCATTTTTGTGATTTAGTACTAATTTAATACATGTAAACATACCGATTTAATTTCATTATTATTTAGTTTCAGATTGTTGTTATTTGTGAATAAATCTTAATACTAAAATCCCAAGCGTGTATTGTATTATTGGATTATTGTATGTTAGCTCCAAGTTATCGTCGGTCCATTATCTGAAAATCTTGGTGTCTATTTAACGTGCTGATCGTGGTTTGGAGCTATTAAAGTATTAAAATGGATAAAGATAAAGTCAAGAATATTCGACGGGCTGCAAAAGGCACATTAACGAGGGCATTTATCGCTTGTAAGAATCTTATTGATGCTCAGCGCCCTGTTGTCGAAGTCAAAGAAGCGTTTGATGTTGTTAAAAATGCGTATAATGGTCTGGAAGTTAAGCATGAAGAATTTACAATGGTGTTAGATGACACCCAATATGACGAAGCTGAGGAATGGATGCAAGCTTGTAACAGTGAGTACATGAAGTTTTCTATGATGTATAATGATTATTTGAATGCCAATGTTGCTGAAAAGGAAAATGATGATGTAGTAAATCAGGCTATAAATGAAGATGGAAATAATGCAAATGTGGACGGTGAGAATGATGAAAACAATAGTGTAAATGATGACCAGGAAAGTTTAGATATGCATGAGCCTGCTGAAGACGAACTAAGTAGTGTGACAAAGAATGTGAAATTGTCAAGCCCCTTTGCCATGAAACACGAGAAGCCAAAACTGCCCAAATTTGATGGAGATGTAAGACAGTACTTTATTTTCAAGTCAGATTTCCAGCATGCTGTAGAAGCCCACTGTTCTGAAAGGGACACCCTTACAATTCTTCGGTCGTGTCTTAATGCCCAACCAGCAAAGTTGATCGAAGGGATAAGTTCAGATTTGAAAACAGCATGGAAGTACCTAGATCAAAACTATGGGAATCCAAGAGTGGTGTCAGACACAGTCACATCAGATCTAGAGAAATTTAAGATAATCCAGCCTGGTGAGGATTATCGCTTCTGCGAGCTTGTTAATTTAGTGCGAAGATCATACAATATTCTGAAAGAAGTCAAGAGGAAACAAGATATCGACAACACCCATGTAATATCCTTGATAGAGAGAAAGATGACCAAAGATGATCTTAGAGTATGGTCGCGCCATATCAACAGTCGTAAGTTTGAACCGTCAATGGAAAATCTTCTTGAATGGATGGAGGAGGAGATGACAGCCCGAATACGTTCTGGTGCCACAATCCGTAAGAACACTGGAACCAGATCAGGGGTAAATGCATTTGGTTATAGAGAATCGAAAGGGGGGGAAGTCAAATCGAAATGTTATGTTTGTCAGGAAAATCATTATGTAGATGAATGCAAAAAGTTTATCGATATGACCCCCAACGAAAGATGGAAAGTCGTAAGGGAGCAAAGAGCATGTTTTTCATGTCTGAAAAGAAGTAAAGGTCACACTGCTGTGAACTGTACTCGAAGGAGAGAGTGTGGTCAAGCAAATGGGAATGGTGACAACTGTAAGAAATACCATCACAAGCTGCTCCACTGCAACAACATCGAAGAGAGAACAGGTAATCGTGTCCATTCCACCCGAGATAACAACAGTACTACTATACTCCCTGTAATTACTGGTTTAGTTAAAGGAAAGGACAGTGTTATGTCAGAAGCTAATGTATTTTATGATAGTGGTGCCCAGATCTCTATGATTCGCAGAAGTTATGCGGAATCCTTGGCATTGGAAGGAAAGCCTATTAACATTGTGATCACTAAAGTTGGAGGAGTGGAAGAAGAGTTAACAACAAAATTGTATAAAGTTCCAGTGCACAATTCTGATGGGAAAAGAGTCCAAATAGTTCAAGCAGTTGGCATCGCACAGATTTCAGAAGACAGTCCCAATGGTAATATAAGCGAAGTCTCAAAAATCTTCGACATTCCTACTAGTATGCTGAAGCGCAAAGTTGGCCCGGTCGACCTTCTGATTGGAATTAATTACCCACAGTTCCATGCTGGTGAGACTAAAATTAAGAAGAATCTTGCCGTCAGAAAAAGTCCACTTGGTTGGGTGGTCTTTGGGACTGACTCAAAGGAAATGACTTTCCAAAACAATAACGTTTTGCATGTGCGTCTTGCCCCTCCAGTTGATTTGACAGATTTTTGGAAAACCGAATCAATGGGTGTTTCTCCCTCGTTATGCAATTGTCAAGAAGTTGAGATGTCTTTGAAAGAACAGCAAGAGTTAAAGTTGATAGAAGAATCCTGTGAGTTGGTTGGCAAGAAATGGATAATGAACTATCCTTGGAAGAAAGACCCTAGCCAATTGCCAAACAACTATTCGCAAGTCCTGAAGAAGCTGAAAAGTACAGAGCGTCGCTTGAGTAAACAGCCCAAACATGCCAAAGATTATGATACACAGATAAAAGAAATGGAAGATAGAAAGTTCTTGAGAAAGTTAACACAAGAGGAAGTCGCAGAATGGAAAAAGCCAGCCCATTATATCGCTCACCACGCCGTAGTTCGTGAAGAAAAGAAGTCTACGCCAGTGCGTATCGTTTTCAACAGTTCAGCGTCGTTCAAAGGACACTGTCTAAACGATTATTGGTACAAAGGTCCCGACCTACTGAATAACCTTTTCGGGGTAATACTGCGTTTCCGAGAGAATGCTGTTGCTGTTTGTGGTGATATTGCAAAGATGTATCATATGGTTGGCATCCCGCCAATTGATCAACATGTCCACCGCTTTCTTTGGAGGAGTTTCGAGACAGAGCGCGAGCCTGATACCTACGTTAAGACAGTTCTTACGTTTGGGGACCGTCCATCGCCCACCATGGCCATCGTTGCAATGCGTAAAACTGCTGAGCTGAAAGAGGATGTCAAGCCGGAAGCTGCCAATTCAATCAAGAAAAATACCTACATGGATGACATATGTGACTCGCAGAACACCGTACAAGCAGCCAAAGAACTGACAAGAGATATTGATGAAGTACTTGATGCTGGCGGATTCCACGTCAAGGGATGGGTATCAAACGCAGTGTTGAATGATGAAGAGCAACAAGGAGAAGTCGTACTTGGTCAAGATCCGCTGAACGATACACAGAAAGTTCTTGGAACAGTTTGGAACCCTCAACAAGATAAGTTTTCATTCAAAGTTAAATTGGGACACACTGATGTTTCAGAATCGGATGAATCCCTACGCTCTACAGTTCCAGGAAAGTTAACAAAGCGTATCATTTTGAGCAAGATATCTGGAATCTTTGACCCGATTGGAGGTGGTGCCGCTGTTCTGATAAAAGCGAAGATAGCGATGCAAGAGTTATGGCTACGAGGGCTGGGTTGGGATGACGATGTCCCACCAGACGTCAGAAAGAAATGGACGGTGTTGTTCAATGAAATGTCTACCTTAAATGAGATTGAATTCGAGCGATGCTTAACACCCCTGAATGCAATTAGTAATCCATGGTTAATTGTATTCTGTGATGCTTCTCGGTTGGCATTTGGTGCTTGTGCATATATGAGATGGCAACTTGAAGACGGAGCATTCGGCGTAAGATTTGTTGCTGCGAAATCTCGGGTGGCGCCATTGAAAGAACTCACAATTCCTCGCCTGGAATTACAAGCTGCAGTCTTAGCCAGCCGCTTGGCTAAGGCCATCCTGAAGGAAACCCGCCTGAGGATTGCACGAACAATCTTCTTCTCGGACAGTCGTGTCACACTTGCATGGATTCAAGGACAGCCGCGAACCTATAAACCCTTTGTTTCTTGCCGAGTTAGTGAGATTCAATCAAACTCCGACCCTTCCAACTGGCTCCATTGTCCCACTGCAATGAACGTGGCGGACGATTTAACGAAAGGTATTTCGGCTGAAGAAGTGAATGGTAGATGGTTAAACGGTCCGGTGTTTATACAGTTACCCGAGGAGCAATGGCCGATGGAAACTGGCGTACCAGAAAGAAAGGAAGTTAACAAAGAAAGGAGACAAGTCAAGATCGTATGTCCTGTCGCTGTCAGCAAGCCGTTATTCGACTGTAAACGGTTCTCGAAGTGGAAACGAGTAATAAGGATCACGAGTTACATCCAGAGATTTATCCAGAATTGTCGAATCAAGTGTGGTCGAAATGAGAGAAATCAACAACCAGAAGTTGGTCCATTAACCAATCAAGAATTGGAAAACGCGGAGGAGTACTGGCTAAAACAGATGCAGTCAAATCTCTTAAAGAGATTACCTAGAGGCGATTTCAAGACCCTGTCTCCATATAAGGACGATAGAAATATCCTCAGGGTAGGAGGTCGTGTGGATCCAACCTTAGTTTCCTACGATGAAAGACGTCCCGCACTTTTACCATATGATCACTATCTGTCCACCTTAATAGTCCGTGATGCTCACGAAACAAGTCATTCTGGTGTCGCCACGACAGTCGCCAAAATACGTAGAATGTATTGGGTCATCAAAGCTCATAGGATTGCGAAAGTCGTCAAGCAACGGTGCACAACATGTCGAAAGCTCGAAGCGAAAGTTGAAACCCAGCTCATGGCTATCCTGCCACCATTTCGTTTGCAGCCGTGCACCCCACCGTTCCTCTACTCAACGATGGATTACTTTGGACCAATCAACGTAAAAGTAGGCAGAAACAAAACAGTTAAACATTATGGTGTAGTATTCACGTGCATGAATACCAGAGCCATCCATTGCGAGATTGCAGTTGATGCCAGCACGATGGAGCTCTTGCAAGTCTTAAGAAGGTTCTTTTCATTCCGTGGTTATCCGAAAGTGCTCTTATCTGACAACGGAACGCAGATGGTAGGAGCAAACAACGAATTGAAGTTAATGATCGAAGGATGGAACAAAGATCAATTGGAAGAATTTTGCGCAGCCAGAGGAATGAAATGGCAATTCATCACACCATTGGCACCGCATCAAAATGGATGCTCTGAGGCGATGGTAAAAAGTGTGAAGCTAGCAATGAAGAGAGCAATCGGCGACGCCCTTTTAACACCATTCGAGCTATACACGTGTGTTTTGGAAGCTGCGAATTTGGTTAACCAACGGCCGATTGGAAGAGTACCAACAGATCCGGATGATGGCGGATACCTATGTCCAAACGATATACTATTGGGCAGAGCTACGAACGCTGTGCCTCAAGGTCCGTTCCGAGAAACACAAAATCCTCGCCACCGATTCGAGTTTTGTCAGAGAATTATTGATGCTTTTTGGAAGAAGTGGTCAAGAGACGTCCTACCGCTATTAACCCCACGAAGAAAATGGAATACGCAAAGTCGTAATGTAACGGTGAACGATTATGTTATAGTGTCCGAGCCAAACGCAGTAAGGGGAAAGTGGAACACCGGAAAGATCGTGGAAGTCTATCAGGGAGAGGACGGGTTGGTCAGGAATGTGAAGGTGAAAACTGCTACGGGAACCTACAGCCGACCTATCAACAAGATATGCGTAATTTATCCAGCAGAAGGCTACGAAGAGGAGTGAATGGGAGTTCTCCCATTGTCGGGGGGAGTGTTTCATTGACGATGAAAGGACTTCATGTAAGACTATTTTAATGTTTTAGTTAGTCGGAGTTTACTCGGACCTTAGTCGGAAGGGTTCGTAGGAAAAATGTGATGAGCTTGTAGAAATGTTTTGAACAAGTTTTCGTATGGTTTTATGAAGTTTATAAAGTTTTAAGTAAGGTTTATTATTGTTAAATGTTAAGATAAAAGGAAAAGGATACTTGCTTAGGACAGATGTAAGTAGAAAGCCTTAGTTAATTCATTTTTGTGATTTAGTACTAATTTAATATATGTAAACATACCGATTTAATTTCATTATTATTTAGTTTCAGATTGTTGTTATTTGTGAATAAATCTTAATACTGAAATCCCAAGCGTGTATTGTATTATTGGATTATTGTATGTTAGCTCCAAGTTATCGTCGGTCCAAACATTCTGTCCACAATGGTTTTCCATAGGTAGAAGAAAAACTTGATTTTCACCATGTTCCACCGAAGGGATTTTTTGGGATTTTTAGTATGTTAATCAGGACACCTTCCCTCACATTTTACCACTGAAAAAAATTCTATTGCAATTTCTTTGACCCCTGGTCACAGATTGACTGGACTACCCCCGGAGGCATAAATAATGAACGGTCCCTAAAGGCTCGTTTACCGACTTGCAAATTTTGCTGCGATTTCTAGAAGTGTGATTTTCCTCTTCTGATGGATGTGAACGAGTTAGGAATTTTCTGAGTACATTTACCCTCATCTGAACATTGTTAACATTGATAACTCGCCTACTTCTTCACATCCATCAGAAGAAGGAAATCGCACCTAAAATCGCAACACTGAAAAATTCCAAGTGCAAAGATCCAGACACACCGAACGCGATTCGACAACGTGACGCGTTTTTTAGTTTTTGCAAGTTAATAAAATAGCCAATGAGAGCAAAGTTTAAAAGATATGTAGACCAAATAACTCAAAATGTTATAACGCTTCTAAATATTTGGAAAATTTAAACTAAGATCAAAGCTATACGTTCAGTGAAAATAAAAAATTCGCGTCGCGTTGTCGAATCGCGTTCGGTAAACCGACCTTAGACGGGGCTTCTTGAGATATCGCATGATTGGTTTTCCACATTTGATGTCACTACAAGGGTCTAGTGTTGAATTATGCTGAAATGACTTCCTCTGGCACCTTAATGGTCTTTAATCTTACAAGTCTTCGAGTTCCTGTCATTTGTGGCCGTTACGTATGCCGCGTCAAGTACAACTTGTTCCCGCTTGATATCGATAGGCTTGAACACGATTAATTGTGCTGCAACCTAAGAACAGGTTGTCAACAAGATTGTTACAGCATTGTTACGACTGAACAAAGTTGTAACAATAGATATCAGTAAGCAACACGTCGTTGTTGGCAAAAGAAGTTGGCAAAGTGTCTTTTTTATGGGCAAACAATGTTAGACGATGTTGGATTGGGTTTAATAGGGCGAGGAGTCGACAAACAAAACAAACACCTTGTGTTTTTAAAAACCGATTTAACCAATGTTGTTGTTCTGGGCAAAGAAACGGAAAAAAAATTGGAAAACTATTCTGAAACTCAGTAATATTGAAACAAAATGACAAAATAACGGCGCTAGTTCATGGGAACGACCATTATCAGCGAAACACCAACAATAAGGGAAATCTGCCAGGATTTAACTGGGTGACCTCCTTGTCCTGATCCATTTCCAAAATAACCACCCCCGCCCACTCTCCTTCTCCCACCTCCTCTCCTTCCGCCACCTCCCCTACCCCCGCGGGCAGCTTTGACGGGCACACATTGAGAACTGTCAACACAGTGTCCATCAATACAGCATTCACTGAGACATTGGACAGTCAAACAGCCTGATGGATGTGAACGAGTAGGTGAAGTGTTTCTTGTCACCTTGACTCGATCTTCTCTATTCGTCGTCTTCGCTTCTGTCGGAACTTTTGGTTCATCTGTAGTCACGAAGTTTGTAGTTGAACGCTTATTCGACGTGGGCTGAGTTGAATTGTGAACACGGCTCGAACCCCTCAAAGAGAGCCTATACAGTAGAACGGTTATTATATGAATAATTCTCAAAAACTTTACCTGAACTAGATAACTCAATCACGTCTATACTGTTCTACCTGGAGGTAATTTGACGTGTAACGGCTCAATCAGGCATTAAAATAGCTTGTTTTTTTGAGACTTTGTGTCATTCTAAGGAGAGTATGTCCTTGTAAATCGAAAAGTGTGTACTTGGGACAGTGTACTTGGTCTTGGGAATAAATCCAGGAAAATCCATTTCCAGCCATTTCGACAGCAATTTTGTTTGAAGAAATATATATAAACCAGATATATGTATTTCTGCATGTTTTTATATGTTTCTGATTTTTCTGTTTATAACATGTCAAGAAACGCCTGTAAAATTACCAATGGCTTCAATTATTTCCCTATGGGCGGCGGTTCATGATAATTTCTGCAGAAATCATGCTGCAAAAACCAAGTACCAAGTGTAAAATTGTCTAAGTTACTAAATATACCAATATCCGTGAAACCCCTGTTCAGGCCCGATTGATATTCTCATCAGAAAAATATTCTATTCTAACAAAAATTAATATTTTTACCAGAGATTTTCTCTTCCATTCCGAAATCTATTAACAGCCAAATATTTACAAACCTTTTCAAAAGACAACTGCTACACGTTGAGTTTACACAGCAGTCGCCATCACAATGTACATCAAGTTCACATGATAACCCCAAACATCTCTCACGACAGAGTACATCACCCGCAGGTATGGTACAACATCTTAACTCACAGTTCTGACCAGATTTACATTCTTTTGCACTGGCCAGTAACACGAAACTGTGTAAAACAATCAGAAATTTGAACAACATGGCTTTAACAAAGTTTCACCACAAATGATTGACGATTCAGCAAGTGCGTGGGTATTTATCGAAAATACATTGACACGATAACAAAGAGCTCATTATATTTATTGCCCTTCAGTGATAATAGCTTCAGACCATCCAGTTAGATGGTCTGAAACAATTATAGAATAAATTATCGCTGAAGGGCAATCAATATAACATTTTTTGTTATGTTTCTTAGAAACCCCAAACAACAAGTAAGTTCTTCAAATTTTCGACAGCCAAATAGTTCATCAGTGTGAATAAATACGTTAATCCAATCAATGTTGTTTGTTTGCCTGTCTTCTCATTAGTATGCATAGTGTGATAACTAGTTTTATTATATACCAACAGTCAAAGTCGCATTTTTCTAGTGTTTTATTGGTCGAGAGCAATCACGTGAGAGTGACGAAATTAGACTGTCTCCCTCGCATTTACGTGCATTTGTTATTCAATTTGTCGTTTCTTTGACTATTGATATATAATAAAACACTTATTTGCTGAGACCTCGGGAAAGCAGTGTGTTTTGTGGACCCTCGACGTTTCCCTCGGGAAACATCGACGGTCTCGGGTCCACAAAACACACTGTTTCCCGGGGTCTCAGGAAATAAGTGATAAATATCAAACTAGTTATCACTTATCCCACTAGTTTACTAATAAGCATTTTTACTCCACAATTTCCCTCTCTTCAAAGCCCTTCCCACGTGAGGGCATTAAAACAGTTGGCTAATAGATTTAGCAGCTCGCTTGGAACGAATCATACTGGTGTATTTGTACGAACGATCAGGGAAAATGGCTTTTTGCCGATTTCCAGAGGAAACCAAGATGGCATATATTAGCTTAGAAAACATGGCAAAAGACATTTAATTAAAGAAAATAGCTTTGAAAATCAAGAATTTTTACGCCGTTACGCTGTTTACTAACACCCAAAAAACTAACCTCTTGTCAGAGATAGAAAGCGCTCTACTGAAACGTGTCTAAAATAGAAAGCCCTCGGTAGGATTTGCAGTATAGATATATTGCAGATATATTGCCAGACAGCAGATATATTGCCTTTTAATTGAGTGTAATGCAAACGCGAAATATAGAAATAATTTTTATTTTTAACATTACCGACGACTTGAAGACGCGATTTATTCATTTGTCTGTGAAATTCAACTACAGTCCAGTTAACAAAACAATTCAACCCACGTTATCATTAATATAAAAGCTACCAGCAATTTACTATTCCTGGATCAAATTAAAGTTTATGAATTAATGGTAACATGCACTCCGGTAAAATAAATGAATACAATCTCTGAGCAAATTAGATTCAAGACCCACGTCTAGTGACTGACAGGGTGTTCTTATAATTGTTACGACTGAAATTGACTGTAATACAGGATTGTCCTGCTAATGTGCTGCCCATACCAGGGCTGCAAATTACTGTCGGACATCGGACAATGTCCGACTAAATTTGGCAAATGTCCGAGCAAAAGTAATTTTGATCGGACATTGGTCTGATCACAAAAAAAATTGTCACATTATTTACAAATTACTCAATTTGCATTTGCAATAAAATTTACGAGGCATTCTAGCATTTTACTTAACGTTGCGCCGGAATGGCTATACATACTCGTGACTTATATATATCTTGTGACGAATATATTGTCCGACCAAATTTAGTGATGTTGGTTTTTGTCCGACCAAAATCAAAGCCCGGTCAAATATTTATTTGCGGCCCTGCATACAACGTAGTTTCACACTATTTTTCTATGATTGCATTGAAAACAAAATTCAGAATGACTATGGTAAGATACTTTGCCAAACTACCTTCAATTAACTTGTTTCTTCTTGAAATATTCAACATTATTATTTATTGAGAATAATTCAAGAATTCTGATTGGCTAAGAGCTGTCGGTGAAATCGTCATATCCACTCGGTAGCTGCTCAAATTTGGAGTTATGACATCACCGTGGAATATTGAAAACAAATATACCACACGTTTGGCGTCATTTCGTGGTATATTAAAAAACAATGTAACACGTTATTTTATGGTAGTGCATTTTCCGCGCGTAATACTAAAATACTCAAAATTTGCTAATTTCACAGGGCTATATTTTCCGTGTATTACAACATTTTCAACCAAATTTGGCAATTTTACTAATTTAAGGATTTTCTTTTAAGCCATAATGATAGATTTCGTCCTTCTTGTTCGGATCAAAATTTTAGTCTATAGCTGGAATCATCTATTATATTATACCTCAAATTCAAATTGTCCAATCAGGAAGCTTAGTTTGTGCCACGTGAGCATGAAATTAATCGCGATATCACGCCTTACGTCATCAATTAGCGAGCCTGCGTTCCTTTTGACAATGTTCCACCCCATGTTCCCCGGGGAACATGGGGTGGAACATTATTCGCGTAGACCACGCGGGACAACACGCATGACAACAAGATGGCCGACAAAACATAAATAGTATTAATGAGTGATGAATAATTCAATTTTAAACCTAAAACCTGGGGCTTTTTCAAACCTAAAACCCGGGGCTTTGTCATTAATATTCCAAACGATATGTGATTCGAAAGAAAAGCGACGATACTTGCGTTAATCCGAAAATAAAACATCGTATTCACGAAGGTATCTGTCAAGTTTTTAACTCTCAACTTGGAGGCTTTTAATTTTCGGTATAATATATCATTTATAGACCCTCCGCTCGGGGGATTCGGCGAAATATTACCCTCAGTGATGATATTTCCCTCGGGGCAAAGCCCCTCGGGAAATATCATCACTTCGGGTAATATTTTGCCGAATCCCCCTCGCTCCAGGTCTATAAATGATAAAAGTTCGACGTCTACTAAATCGGTTCCCAAACTTGTGCCGTATTTAATTTGATTTGGTCGGGCGCATGAAAAGCGGTTCGCCGTCTAAACCTTGCATTACTGTAGAAATTATTGAGGAGTGGAATGATAAATTGCTGGCAACTCATGTTACATATGTGTTTCTCAATCTTACGTTCTACGAGGTATTTCTCTATGTGGGTTATTCCTATTCTGTTCTAGTTTACCGTGAGCGCGAACATTTGAAGGATAGAATTTATCTGTTGTGGTCTGTAGTGCCAAGTTTGTAGGAAACTGTGATCTGAGAGAATCTGTGTTGGTTGGTGACATTCCTAGCTCTGTCCTGCCGTACACTCCCAGCACGGCGTTATCGTGGAAATCTGCCGTTAACTAGAACAAAAGAACTTCAGAATCACTTGTGGTGCACGTGAGCATCTCCAACTCATTAAAAATTCATAAGTATATTAGCCAACCATATTGCTTTATTTTGCTCACATGATAATACTGGATACCTGGTGAAGTATATGGATCCTGTCAGTCCTAAGAACTGGATCAAAATTAACTCAGTCCTAGGACTGGATCAAAATTAATCAAGTCCTTGGATTGGATCAAAATTAGTTCACCTCACTTTAAGTAGTGATTCATTCGTATGAGACGTCATTTCAAATCCTCCAATTCGGACTGAATTAGATTTGAAGTCCTCGCATTTTGATCCAGTCCTTGGCTTCGCCTCAGACTTGATCAAATTACTCGGACTTGAAATCTAGTCCAGTCCTCATAGTCGAAAAAATGTAATCCAAATTTGACAAGTTACCGTGTGTTAATTATTACGTTTATAAGTTTTCTGTTTTCGTATTTATAAAGGTCAGACTTTTACCTGTCAAATGACACCTTTATGGAATCATTGCGATAAAAGTGACCAAATACGACCGTTATTGTGGACCATGCTTGCGTGCAGGGGCGAAACTAGCCCCTTTTAATTGGGGAGGCGTCTGCTAGAATTGCTCTGCGAAAGCCGATGATGCCCTGCAGAAAAAATTTTTTTTTCACTATTTCTCCCAAAAATGTTGGCGAGCGGGGTGGGTGGGTGGGGAGGGGAGGTCGAAAAAATTTTTTCAGACAAATTCCTGTTAAAACATGCATGAAACCCATAGAAATAATAGACATAGAATGCGTGCTCCTATCTCTTCTCAGTAAAAATTTTGTCTCCACAAAATGGCGGATTTATAAGGGCATTTTGGCTAGTCCCAGACTCCTGTGGCGTGGAATTTCGCGCGGTGCCGGGAGTGCGAATTGTTTTTTTCAACAAAGTTTGCAAAAACAATTCTATCCAGACTTGAAGTGGAAAAAAAGTGTTTTTAATGGAGAAAAACCCATTCCCGTGGGGTTTTTTACGAAGAGCAATAGTTCTGAACAGAATATATAGAGAAATCGTCGTTTCAAAATACATTTTCAACGTTGTTGTGCAAGCCAAAACAAAACACGAAAAATCAAGACAAACTGAAACTCAAGAGGTATGTTTTAAAAAATATATTTCAACTGTTTTATAATATAAATAGAGTTCAATAATCTTTTTAAACTTACACAACTACTTTTTATACTTTTTTATACGTTGCTTGAGCTTGAGGCAACGCTTTTGAAACCATATGTTTTCGACGATCATTTAGGCGATTTACAGTTTTAAATATCAACAACTAAATATTTTTGTTTCAAAAACATGAAAACACTTCGTTTAGATTGAAGAAAAACAAAACCCGACGAAGAATGAACTATCATCTCGTAATTTTATAAAGTATTAGCAAAACAGTTACGTTCAGAGCTTGCAAAAATGTTTTATGAGTAAGTTATATTTTATACGCGAAACTACACGAAAAAACTACTTGTTTTTTATACAAGGCTGCACGATTTTCACCGTTTTTGTAACGGCACATTTGCTTTGAGCCTTTAAAGAACTTAATATTTCAAATTCTATCCCCAAACTACAAATACCAAACGTTTTGACGATGAAAACTTTATAGTTTTAGTTTTGTTTATACTTTGTAGTTTGCACTCCTACTCAAATTCAACATGGCGGATTTATAAGGGCATTTTTGTTTTCAGTTTGGACACCGGTCACGTGACCAAGCACGCATTCTAGGTCTAATATTTCTATGATGAAACCCTTACTTTTTTTTACCAATATCTGTAAAATTTATGTCTATAAATTCTATTCAATTCCCTCTGGAAGCCCTGGAAGCTACTTAATAACTCTACATTCTATCATTTAAAATCTTTCATTGCCCTGCCAATCCAGATGATTTGCCCTGCCAATCCAGATGATTTGTACTTTGGGGGTGAAAGTTTCGTCCCTGCTTGCGTGTATACTAACAAGGCTCTTACTACTGCGTGGACCTGGCTTATTCTCAGTGTAAGAAATCAAATTCTTGTCACTAAGCTATAAACCTTACCCTGGACGTATCCTTACTGGTATTTCCCATCCGGTGGTTACCAACACCGCCTAGGTCACAAAAATACCCATTTTAGATGCTTGGAATCAACCTCGTTCACAGGCTCTTACCTCCACAAAATGGAATTCTAAAATCTAGCAGATTTTTAATTGATGATGATGATGTTGATAAATATTTGATATTTATACTTTAATTTATAACTTGCATTTTGTTTTGCAAGTTTGATTTGATTTTAAAGGGATCCAAGATAGTTAATTAGAAATCTGCTAGATTTTAGCAGATTACGTCACCAGCTCCTACCAGGGTCTTTCCTCCACAAGAGGTAAGAGCCTGGGAACGAGGTTGGCTTGGAATAAGAACTTTTCTTTGCAAACCTGTATTTTCGACTTTCTCCATGGAAACCCAAACTGTATTGTAATAAACATGTCCATGTCTACACCTTCAATGTCAGGGGCGCTGGAAGCAACGTGAAACGGGAGGGGGGGGGGGCAGCCATTTAAAAAAGGCACTTAATACTTCTGAGCCTTTGCTGTACTGATACTTGATTACTTGTAGCCAATATTGTTAGATAATTTTATTCACTGCATGCATGACGCTAAAGACTAAAATGTATTGTAAAACAACACGACTCAATTTATTTACGAAGGTTTTCTTTTTCACTTATTTTCATAAAGCTGAAAGAAATTTCTTATTCAAATTTGAGCTAAATTGCTTAAAAACAGTTCTCAATTTCAATTCATGCGAATAACGCACCACTTTCGAAAAGTACCGGGTGTCCCAAAAAACCTTGCGCTGTTTGATTTAATGTGACATAAAAACTATAAAAGCTATTGCACTCAAATAAGTTATATTGTATTCAGAAAGGGCTAACTTAGATTTTGATATATAACATTTGAATATCCGTGCAATATTTACTGAGCTATCGATGTTTTAAATCGAATAAGCATATTTGACAATTATATAGTTTTATTGTGGCCAAAAGAACGAATGAAAAACATAATTGTTGGATAAACATTTATTCATTTATCATAGAAAGTATGTCCCCTTGCACGTATACAATGTCTTGCACGGGAAAACATAAAAGCCAAACTCTTTGATCTTTTGTTAATCGAAGCATATTCGAAAGGCGAACGAGACCAACTTTATAATACGAACTCTCAAAGGACGTCAAATATGCTTTCGAACGTTTTTAAATGTTTCATGCTTATTTCGCTTCCCAAGAAACACGAAAGGTTAACTTATACTAGGACATTACCCGAAATTAAAGTTGAGCTGAAATGCTGAAATTGTTAATTTTTGTGGAAAATGGCAATTTGTTTTCATATAAATTTGATCAGCCATGTTTCTCGATTTTTTTACTCATTTTTAAAGCGTGCGCCACATTCAAACGTTTGTATCTCACGTACTATTACATGAAATTTTTAGGGCTGTATATCAAAATCTAAGCTAGCCTTTCCTCAATACAATAAAACTTATTTGAGTGTAATAGCTTTTATAGTTTTTACCTTACATAAAATCAAACACCGCAAGTATATATATATATATATATATATATATATATATATATATATATATATATATATATATATATATATATATATATATATATATATATATATATATATATATATATCTTAAAGGGTATGGGCAACAAAAAATTTTATTGATTTTATTGCATTTCATCTGAAAGAGCATGAAAAAATAAGCCGATTGGCCGTTTACTGCTCTATTCTATCTCATCTGGTTCCGAAGTTATACGCAAAAATGTGCAAAATATAAATTGCTGATTCAGCACATTCTGTGACGTCATAAGCTGGGTAAGTATGTTTATTGAATAGTAAACTAAAGCATAGCTGAATTATTATTAGCTCAAATCAAATGAAATTTTGCATACAGATAGTACATGATGAGATGCATGGGAAAAATACTTCTAATTTCGTTGTCAAGGCAACACAGTCGTTCCCAGGCCTCTTACACTGATTTTGAATAACTAGTTGCATTTATCTATGTGTATGTCATTTTCGAATTATTATCATGCAAGTAAACTTTTGGCATGCATAAGTATCATACACATACTTCTGATATTATTTTATTCTTATCAGTACCTTGAATAAAGCTGTTTCATAAAATTGGCGCAAGGGGCCTGGAAACGACATTGTTACCTTGGCAACAAAATTAGAAGTGTTTTCCATGCGTCTCATCATGTACAATCAGTATGCAAAATTTCATTTGATTTGGGCCCATAATAACTGAGCTATGCTTCAGTGTAGTATTCAATAAACATACTTACCCAGCTAATGACGTCACACGTTGTGCTGAATCAGCAATTTATATTTTCACATTTTTGCGTATAACTTCGGAACTAGATGAGATAGAATAGAGCATTAAACGGCCAATCGGCTTATTTTTTCATGCTCTTTCAGATGAAGCAATAAGATAGATAAAGCAATTTTTGTTGCCAATACCCTTTAAAGAGTAAATTCTAAGTTTTGAAGATTAAATTCTATATTTTGAAGAGTAAATTCTAAGTTTTGAAGAGTAACTTCTAAGTTTAGAAGAGTAAATTCTAATTTTGAAGCGTAAATTCTAAGTTTTGACAAGGAAATTCTAAGTTTTGAAGAGTAAAATCTAAGTTTTAAAGGGTAAATTCTATATTTTGAAGAGTAAATTATAAGTTTTGTAAAGTAAATTCTAAATTTTGAAGAGTAAATTCGAAGTTTTGAAGAGTAAATTCTAAATTTTGAAGAGCACATTCTAAGTTTTGAAGAGTAAATTCTAAGATTTGGAGAGTAATTTCTTAGTTTTGAAGAGTAAATTCTAAGTTTTTAAGATTAAATTCTAAGTTTTGAAGAGAAAATTCTAAGATTTGAAGAGTAAATTCTATGTTTTGAAGAGTAAATTCTAAGATTTTAAGAGTAAATTCTAAGATTTGAAGAGAAAATTCTAAGATTTGGAGAGTAATTTCTTAGTTTCGAAGAGTAAATTCTAATTTTTGAAGATTAAATTCTAAGTTTTGAAGAGTAAATTCTAAGTTTTGAGAGCAAATTCTTAATTTTGACGAGTAAATTCTAAGTTTTTGAGAGTAAATTCTAAGTTTTGAAGAGAAAATTCTAAGTTTGAAGAGTAAATTCTAAGATTTAAGGAGCAAATTCTAAGTTTTAAAGAGTAAATTCTAAATTTAGAAGAGCAAATTCTAAGTTTTGAAGAGTAAATTCTATGTTTTAAAGAGTAAATTCTAAGATTTGATGATTAAATTCTAAGTTTTGAAGACAGAATTTTAAGTTCCGAAGAGTAATTATA